GGCGCGGCCTGGGGGGTTATGGGTGTGCTACCCACCATACAAATATGCCCTTTTAACCCAGTCGGTAGCAGGCTGGGCCAACAGCCAGAACAACAGCAACAGTCACACGCAGCGCCGAGACAACAGTCGCGAACAGTGCAGAGAAGGACACCAGCGACAACTCCGGCGATGGCTTCGACAGCACCTACGGTGCATGCGGCAGCAGCGGTTTCTACAACTGTCAATATAAAACCGACAAACCCGCCCCCGTTCAACCCCAGCGACAAGAGCATCACTGTGTCTGCATGGTTGTTTGACGTGGAGGTTTTATTTAATGCAGCGCAAATTGCTGATGATGCCACCTGCAAAAATTTTGCAGTGTCGCTGTTACGAGGACCGGCGTTGGAGTGGTGGCGACGCACACTACAGTCAGAGGGGACTCCGGCAGGGACATCACGTGCGAACGACGGGACCTGGACATCTGTCACGCAACGAGCAACCTCGATCTTCGGAGTGGCTACGATACGCACATGGACGGAGTGGGGCGCAGCCCTGCGAACCAGATTCGAGCACGTATCTGCCTCGGATTCTGCTCGCATGAAGCTGCATGCCTGGAAGCAGGTGACATCGGTCCAAGACTACACGGCAACGTTCTGCGCCTTGGTCGACCAAGTGGACGACATGAGTGACGCGGTGCGGCTCGATCGATATGTCGCAGGCCTCAAATACGAGGTTAAGTACGAAGTGCGACGAAGGAGACCACGCGACTTCAACGATGCCGTCCAGCTGGCTGAATCAACGGAAGCGCTGATGTTGTGTGCGAGAATGAGTTCCCGGGAGGGAAATCAATTTCGTTGACCGCCTCGCCAGCCCACAATCAACGGTGTGGATGCACTAAGACGTGGACCAAACACGTGCTTTAACTGCAACCAACCGGGCCACTCGAGGAAAGACTGCCCGAAGCTGAAGCAGGGAAACAGGAACGACGGAGAGGGGTCGGGAAAAGAGACGAGTCAGTAGCAGTCGGGCCACCTACTGACAAGACCCCGTCGCCCGGCAATCACCATCCACACCGAGTAGTGGTACCGATACGGGCTATCGACCGCAACCAGACGAATAGAGTGGATGAACACGTGGATCACCCTGTGCTGATCGTGGGGAGGGTTAACGGCTATAAAATAAAAATATTTGTTGACGGTGGGGCGATCCACAGCCTCGTCAACCTGGCAACGGCAAAAAACAATTGGAGTTAAGCTGGACAGGTGTCTGCCAGAGATCGATGCACGGTTGGTGGACGGGACATCGGTGGCGATACGGGACGAGGTGCGAGAAATTCGGATGAAGTGTGACGACGATTTCGGGTTTTCAATGAAGATGCTGGCAACAACACTGGACGGTTGCGATGTGCTGCTGGGGCGAGATTGGCTGCAGCGATTCAATCCGACGATCGACTGGACGACGTGAGCATGCACGGTGCCAGGCAACAAGGGGCGCGTGACACTTCCGAAATGGACAGAGCCGGAGCCGATGACGACACGTCTCAACGCAATCACGCTGAAAAGGGCGATAAAAAGAGCAGCGCAATCACGCTGAAAAGGGTGATAAAAAGAGGAGCAGTACATCTGTACGAGGTAGTTGCGTCCGAGAAAATCGCCGACATTGACACACGCTGCGCTGCTGTACTTGACGATGTGGCGAGCATAATTCGGAGGTATCCCGAAATTTTCGCGGATGACCTGCCTGACGAGCTGCCACCTTAACGAACAGAAGACCACATGATCGAGCTGGAGCCCGGCGCGCAACCAACTCTTCGGTCCCAGTAGCGGCTCAGCCAACCAGACCTCGACGAGTAGCGGAAACAGCTGGATTATCTGCTCTCGAAGGGATTTATTCGGCCGAGCACGTCACCGTTCGCCGCCCCGATACTATTCACACCGAAATAGGACGGAGGCCTGCGCATGTGTACGCGCTGAATCGGATCACAATCAAGTCGCGTTACCCGATTCCGCGAGCGGACGACCCTGCTGGATCAGCTTCGCAGGGCTCCCTTCTTCTCAAAAATTGTTTTGTGAGGTGGCTACCACCAAATTCGTGTGTTCGCCGACGACAGCCTGAAGACATGCGCCCTCGACGTTCCAGCTCACCATGAACGGGGTGTTTCGGGATATGCTCGACAGAAAAGTGATCATGTACCTGGACGACATCTTGGTGTACAGCAGGACTCGAGACGAACATTTACGGGACTTGGAGGAAGTGCTCCGGCGCTTGCAGCAGAACCGACTGATTACGAAGGGCTCTAAGTGCGAGTTCTTACAGCCGGAGCTGGAGTTCTTGTGGCACGTAGTTTCCGGGGAGGGTATTAAAATTGAGCCCCGCAAAGTGACCGCAATTTCGGAGTGGAAGCCGCCTACGAACATCACGGAGTTGCAGAGTTTCCTCGGCTTCGTTAACTACGTCCGCCGTTTTGTACCGAATATGGCGGGGGTAACCAAGCCATTAACTGACGTACTGCACAAAGGCACGCTATTTCATTGGGGGGAGAGAGAGCATTTGGCCTTCGACGAGCTCAAAACAATTTTGAGTTCACCCCCGGTTCTTTGGCTGGCTGATCCATCTCGACCGTTCGAAGTCGTAACGGACGCCAGCGATTTTACTATCAGTGCCGTCCTTCTACAGGATTTCGACAAGGGATTGCAGCCCATCGCATACGAGTCACACAAAATGCAGCCACCCGAGCGCAACTACCCTGTCGACGACAAAGAAATGCTCGCCATAGTGTATGCATTTCGTACATGGCGCTGCTACCTCACGGGAGCCGACGCTACGATCAGGACAGACCACAAGTCATTACAGTACATCCGCAGCCAACCACAGCTCAACCAGCGACAAATCAGGTGGCTCGATTACCTCGAATCAAACTTCAGCTACACCATCACGTACAAGAAGGGCGCCAACAACATCGCCGACGCCCTGACTTGCCCATCTATGCAGACCGCAGCGGTACTAGTCGCCCATTCCAACCCGCTTCTATCGGGACTATTCACCCACGGGTACAGGACTAACCGCTTCTTCAAGCGAAGCCTATATCTATGGGTCACCACACCACACGGGAATTATTTCCTAAATGTCGGTACCAACCGAGTCTAGGTCCCATCATACCGACCCTTACGAGAGTTGCTGACGCAGGAGGTTCATGACTCTAACCTTTCCGGGCATTTCGGCATCGACAAAACACTGAAGTTGCTGCAGCGGAATTTCTATTGGCCCGACATGGCGTCGGACGTGCAGCGCTACGTGACAGCTTGCCCGACCTGCCAAGCCATGAAGTCGTCGCGACAACGCCCAGCTGGGTTGCTGCAACCCCTTGAACCACACGAACGACCGTGGCAACAGGTGACGATGGATTTTGTCACAGGACTGCCCGCTGGCGCTAGTGGCAACGACTCGGTGTTGGTCGTCGTTGACCGATTAACAAAAATGGCGCATAAATGCGAAGAAACCATGACGCACCATGCCGCACGACGATCACAGCCGAAGAAACTGCGAAGCTGTTCATCTCGACCGTCGTCAGACTACACGGAATACCTTCAGCGATCATCAGCGATCGGGATCCGAATTTGACGTCGAAGTTCTGGCAGGAGACGTGGGCACAGTACGGCACCCGCCTGCAGTTCTCGCCGTCATACCACCCGCAAACCGACGGACAGAGAGAGTGGACAAATCAAACCATGGAGCAGTTGATTCGCACGAACTGCCCCGACTTGACCAAGTGGGAGGATTTACTCCCTATGCTGGAATTTGCGTACAACAGCGCACCGTCTGCGACAACCAATCAGTCGCCGTTCTACCTCAATTACGGGATAGATCCCGTGGTACCCTTGTCAACGACCCCTGACAACCCGGTACCACAATCGCAGCAGTTCGTTTCGGAACTTCAGGCAGCCCGCGATAAAGCAACAGATTTTATCCAAAAGGCTAATAATGTGCCAGCCGCTACGCTGACCAACATCGACGGGATTGACCCTTCAGCGACGGGCAGATGGTTCTCCTAGACACGAAGAATCTCCGTCTGCCCCAACCGGCTAAACTGCGTCCCCGCTACGTCGGACCCTTCCGCATCTTTCGGATGCTGACACATGTCACAGCGAAATTAATGCTACTGGATGATTGGAAAATTCACGATGCTTTCCACGTCAGTCTGCTTCACCACTACGTGGCCCCGCAGTCGTCCGACGTCGCCCGTCCCCACGTTGCGCCAAGTGGTCAGCCCGTAGCAGACCCGACACTTCAGCCATCGAAGATTCTGGCTCATCGCATCCGTGCGACACCGGCCGGACGCCACGTCGATTTCCTCCTACGATGGGTGGATCGCACCAGTAAAGACGACACATGGGTCCCGGCTGACTCGCTGCAAGGCCACTCGGTCTTACGGTATTATCTTCCCCGCCGACGCGTGCCTGATATTGACCACCTTTCTTAAAGGGGGGGGGTAGTGTAAGGAATTTTCTCTTATGCCTTACTGAGGCACCTTATGCGCGTACAACTCCAACTTTCGGAGTTCAGGCTCGGTCCGACGACCTCGCCTTCCGACCGTCCCTCGCGTCGTCTTCGGGTTTCCCAACACCAAACCTGCATCCGAACTTGCGCGGTCCCGCGGACTCATCCTAGCTAGCCTTCCTATATTTGTGCCAGGACTCATTATTTCGACAGACGTTGTAATCACTTCCGCGATATTGCATTCTGCGCAACTCTTCTTACAACTCATAACACTTGTAGTGTGCAACGTGGCTGCTTAATGACGTGTAGTGGTTCAAAGAACGACAAGCGCGAGTGTCGTGCTGCATAGACCCTCTCGATTCCACGTGCACGTTCGTTGAACCTCGAAGAACAGAGTACTTGCGATACTGACGATTTCTCAGCCTGTTTTCGCATTTGTCGTGAACGTCCGACTGGAACATCGCGCACGCATTGCCTTGGTCGCAACTGTGCTTTGCTGAAAGAGGGTAACAAGCGAGGCGACCATGATGTTCCCGAGCCATCACGGGAGTGGAGGCCAGCAGCGACAGCAACAAGTACCGTGTTGCGCTCAACAACGGCCAGGTCAGTCCGCAGCGCCAACCGCACCCCTTTGCCGCCCAGCGACTGCCGCCGTACCAGCCCCATTCGCTGTCTCACTCGCCCATGGTTCCTACTATCTCCCCCTCCCGCTTGCTTACTCTCTGTACTCACCACCTCCGTCCCCTCGTTTCCCCCCCAATCCGCTTCCCCTACACCAGACATGGCTGGTGTACCTGTCGTCGCCGCTAACCCTAAGGCAGGACGGGTCGACGCTGGCAGCGGACGTACCGTTCACGGGGATGATGCACGTGGCGCTGCTGCCGGGCTCCTCCCCGCAGGACGAGGAGGCGCTGCTGGACGCGCACGTGCCCACGGTGCCGGTGGGGGGGAGTGCGCAGGTGGGAGCGTTCCACATCAAGTACACCTGGCGCACGCAGCAGTGGCGCGACCCGGCCAATGGCAACACCGAGGCGCCGCTGCTCATGCTCTCACTGCCAAGTGAGTAGGGGCGTGCAGTGACTATGTTGCCATATGTGCTGCCATGTCACCTGGAATGCCGTCACAAGGCGTCATCGGGTTATGAGGGCAATCACCCATCACCCTCGCCATCTGCCTATCAAACTAAACCCCCTATCCCCTGTTCCTCCCCACCTTCGGCCCATTCTCCCTCATGAGCAGTGCACCGGCGCATGGAGGTGAGCGCGCACAGCCCCTCCTCTGCCTCTGCCCTCCGCCGTCACCGCAGCAGCTCCCCTTCCGGCGCCATGGGCGCCCTCCGCGGCCACCACAACTCCGCGTCTGCCAGACCCTCTATCACATGCGGCAATGCACCGTGGTCGTCCGTGGGAGATGAGTCGGTGCCCGATGCGTCAGTGCTGGCCTACCCCACCATCGACGGCCAGGCGGTGGGCATGCAGGGGGCGGTGTGGCGCCTCAAGGTTCCCAAGCGGCCGTCCACGTGGCGCGCAGGGCCACTCTCGTCTGACCCCCAGCTGCTGGACGAGCTGAGGGCCAGCCTCAAGCAGGACGTGGCGGCGCTGCCGCCCCTCTCCTCTCCCTCCACCTACTCCTTCGGCAAGACAGCAGCACGTGCCGCCCGCCTGGCGCTGATCGCAAAGCAGATGCGGGATGAGGACAGCCTGGCCGCCGTGCTGCCGCCCCTGCGGACCGCGCTCTCCGCATGGCTGGATGGCACCTTCTCCGGTAACCGCCTGCTGTACGACCCCACGTGGGGTGGCGTGGTGAGTGAGGCGGGGTCGCGTGACCAGGGGGCGGAGTTTGGAGCGGGCATGTACAACGACCACCACTTCCACTACGGCTACTTCATCTATGCCGCTGCCACCGTCGCCAAGTTTGATCCCGCGTGGCGCGACCAGTACCGTGCGCCGCTGAAGGACCTGATGGCGGACTACATGTCAGCGGAGCGCACCGCGGCGTTCCCGAGGCTGCGGCACTTTGACGCGTACGCGCTGCACTCGTGGGCCAGCGGGCTGTTTGAATTCGGCGACGGGCGCAACCAGGAGAGCTTCAGCGAGGCGGCCAACGCGTACTACGCGGCGGCGCTGCTGGCGTCCGTGCTGGGCCACGCTGGGCGCCACGCTGGCCGCCGTGGAGGCCCTCGCCGGCCAGACCCTCATGCACGTGCCACTCGCCTCGTCTAATCCGGATCCGTCCCTCTCACCCGGCTACGAGGCGGTGTTTGCGGACGGCAACCGCGTGGTGGGTGTGCTGTGGTCCACCAAGCGTGACGCGGCGCTGTGGTTCGTCCCGCCAGCGGACATGGAGAAGCGCGTGGGCATCCAGGTGCTGCCCGTGTCGCCCTTCCTCACCCACCTCTTCCCGGACCACGAGTTTGCCAAGCAGCTCGTGGAGTGGGCGCAACCCGTGCTGAGTGGCGCCGCCACGGACGAGTGGCGCGGCTTTGCGTGGGCGCTGCAGGCGCTGTACGACCCGCAGGGGGCCAGGACGAACATTGCTGCTCTAACGGCGTTTGATGATGGCAACTCCAAGACCAATATGCTCTGGTGGCTCGCTTCCAACATGCCATAGTAGGCAAGGTTGCTCATACAGTATTATTTTGGTGTTTGTGCATGCACAAAATGGCTTTCACATGGCCCTGCTCACATGTATAGTCAACATCTCTATTTATACTCATGGCGTTGCTTTGCCATGACTTGCCTCCTGTTTTCTTTCCCAAACACAGTAACCGTCTCCAGAAGCAGCCACCTGGGACTCTGCCTCGTTGGGAGCCATGTCCCATCCCATCTCGTACGTCAGCCTATGTACGGACCAAGTGTCCCTCCCCCTCTTGCATCCTCCTCATCTTCCTTCCATCATCCTCCCATCTACTCCCCCACCATCTCAGCCAGGCTGCACTTCTCCATTCCTTCCAGATCACGTGCACCACAACTGCCTACTTATACCCAATACCTCCTCCATGCCCCTTGTGCTGCTCTCTTTCCCCCTCTCTCCAACCTCCACTCCCTCTTTCCCCCACCTCTCCTCCTCGCTGGCGGATGGTGAATGGTGGCAACAAAGAGGTGCTGCAATCACTGCAATAGGCGACCTCGCCCCTCTCAACCCAACAACCATTCCCATTCACTTCCCTCTCCCGTCATTATCTTCTAACGTATACGGCCTCATCACTTTCTGGTTGCTTGACCACGTTTCTTGAGATGACTGGCAGACAGATCATGACAGATGGGCGGAAAAGGTGAGGGAGAACGTGAAAGGTGAGCATAATGAAGGTGTTGTGGTTTCAGCAGTTGGTTCATCACCGATGCAACGAGGTGTACCTCTGCTTCGGCAGAGGGATATGCTTGCAATGAGGTTTCTTAGTTTTATCCGGGACTGGGAAGGAAATAATCAATGTGCAGTGTGCAACGGTTTCGGGCAATGTCCAGAACGGTGGTTTCTGCTGCCGTGGCTGCTGCAGAGGCGGTGGATGCTGCATGACCTAGGGTAGGTAGCAACCAACCTCTTTTGCATACGACCTCCCCCCGCCTGAGCCCTCCCCATCTGCTGCTGCAGAAGTGGCGGTGGATGCTGCACGACCTGTGGTAGGTAGCATGTTATAAACAAAACCCACTTGCATACCACCTGCCCCAACTGAGCCCGCCTCATCTACTTCTGAAGTCACAGTGGCAGCAGGAGTGGCAAGCGAGGCGTTACTGGGGAGGTACTGCGCCCCACTCCATGCCCCTCTCGCTGTCTTGTGATGTTCACTTACTTGTTTCCCTCCTCTCCCTCCCCCTCCCCATCCCCACTCCTTGGTGGCAGCAGAGGGACCCCGCATGGTATTGTGGCAAGCACTCCCACAATCCCACCTCCCCATGGTGGCGTTGAGGTAGGGCGACTCAGGGGAGGTGAGGGCTGCGGCAACGGCAAAACCAAGGGCACTGGGGTGGCGGTAATTAGGATTTCGGTTTGAAAGGTCTTCAGATTTTTGAGTTTGTTTGTGAGCTACTTAAGAAGTCCTGGTTGAGCAGGCTGGCAGGGAAATGTATTATTGGGACAGCTGTGTACATGCACCTCATCCCATACATCATCCCATATCTCACCATGGAGGAAGTCATCCCGTACCTAATCTCACACCTCATCCCACACCCCATTCCATCGCACACCTCATCCCACACCCCATTCCATCGCACACCTCATCCCACACCCCAAACCATCATGCTCGATTCCCTAGTACACTGACCGTCGTTTCTGAATTCCTTTTGATTCATGTAACGCCTTACCCTCGCATGCCTGGCGCCAACACACATGCCCACCAACACGCATGCCTACCTTCCTAATTGTTTCCCTCCACTCTCTCCCCCTCCCCATCCCCCCGCCCCGTCCTCGCCCTCGCCCTCCCCCTCCCCCTCGTCCTTGATGGGTAGTTAATGGTGGCAGCAGAGGGACCCTGCATGCTCTCCCCCAACCCCACCTTCCCTCCTATCTCCTCACAACTGCTTCTACCAGCCACCTCCTCATGGTGGCATGCCCTGGGGGGAGGCGACTCAGGGGAGGTAATATCTGGGGCATGGGCAAAACCAAGATGCTGGTGTGTTGGTATTTGGCCCTCCAGATCGGAGTGTCTTAAGCTTTGGAATTTCGTGCTTGTGAGCAGCCATGGTTTTGAACTCAAGCAAGAATTTATAGTGGTGGAACAGCTATGCACTGCACCTCATTCCATACCTCATCCCATACCTCATCCCACACCTCTTCTCATACCTTATCCCATACATCACATTTCCTTTCCTGCACCTCATCTTATACTTCATCTCATACCTCATCTCGTGCTATGCATCGCACTGGTTTGTTGATTCTCAATTACTTTCGCTTCTTTCAGTGCTTTCTGTTTCTTACACTCATGCCTGCCCATCTCTCAGTCACAGCATAATCCCCTCGAGTGCAGAGTGGTGCAAATGGATGCCACACACCAGCAGAAACCGAGTCACTAGTAATCAGCCACTTTAGGGATGCATTGAGTGGGTGGAGGAGTGTGGCTGCAGTGAGGAGGTGCATTTTTTGCGGTTCTGTCTTGTGTACTGGTGTTTTGCGTACGGAATATCCCAGCGCAAACAGGTCGTCAAGCCTGACGACCTGTTGACGACTTGACGACATGCTGCCCCGGGCAGAAAAAAACTAAAACCCTATCGGATGGCATGCCATCCGAGGGAGGCATCAACCCTAAATCCATGCCTCCCTGTGTTTAGGGTTGATGCCTCCCTGACCGGATGCATGCCCGAATGGCTTTTTAGGTTTTTTTGCCCGAGGGCAGCGAGCTCCCCCGGGCGGAATCGCTTGTCCGCTGAGATATATCAACCGGTATATCAACCATGAATACTGAAGCAGATAAGGCACTGCGAGAGCTGGAAGTGACACATACGGTAGGAGGGCGAGCTGGTTGCAATGCAATGCAATGAAATAGGGAGGCCCAGATTCAATCGAAATTGAAACTGTGATCTTCTTCTTGCCTCTTGTCAGAATCACTGTGCAGGAATGAGTGCATTTAGATGAAAGGGCAGTACAAGTAGTCCTAACCCTAGTTTGTTGTACCCCTTGTAGGCTAACCCACTATAGCCTAGAGATAACACAAACATATAGTTTGACACACCCCCATAGACTAAGTGGGAGATAGCAAACACAACAGACGGTCACAAGACCAGTCAAGCAAGAGAACAAGCAAAGCAAAGATCATGGTGGATCTCAAGGACACCACACAATCTGAGCACAAGCAAGCGGCCACAAGGCCAGTTCACATGGAGAGCTATAATAGTAAGGCAGTACATTGATCACAACCTAGCAAGAGTAAACAAGCAGGTATAAAGATATATATATGTGTACAACAAGAGCAAGTCAAGCAACCAGTAGGTGAGGTAGAGTGGGCACAAGGCCAAGAGCAGTGCAGAAATGCTGATGATCACCAGACCCAAGGGCCTTGGTGAAGACATCAGCAGTGTTGGCCCGAGAGGCCACGTAAGCAAGGTGCAGCTGACCACGCAGCTGCAGCTCACGCGCAAGGAAGTAGCGAAGAGCAATGTGCTTCGTTCTGTGCTCCAGTCTCTCCTCGCGACACAAGGCAAGCATTGCCTTGTTGTCGACGTACAGAACTGGAGGAGAACGAGGCCGCTCCCCCAAGTCGGACAGCAGGTAGGTCAGCCAGCGTAGCTCCTGTGCAGCCATGGCCCTAGCGTAGATCTCGGCCTCACAGCTGGAACCAAGCACAGAAGAAGAACGAGTGGACCTCCACGAGACAGAACCAGAGCCAAGACTGAATGTGTAACCCTGGGATGAACGATGAGTCGCTTGGTCGTCGACCCAAGAAGCGTCGGAGTGTCCTGTGAGTACCTCCGAACCCCGTCCTCCAAGCACGAGCCCCATGCCCGATGTACTGCACAAGTAACGAAGTACCCTCTTCGCGTGATCCTAGTGCACCTTTCGGTGTCTACTGGGAGCCACGTAGCGAGCCAGAAGGCTGAGAGGGTACGCGAGGTCAGGTCGTGTGCATGTCATCAGGTATATGAGGCAACCCACAAGCTCTGGGTACGGACCACTCGGCTACACGAACTCGTCCGAAGGTGGAGCTGAGAGCGAGTGGCCGGTAGACAGAGGAGTGGACTGTGGCGAGGAGAACTGGAAGCCGAAGCGCTGAAGGACCTGGTGCACCATGTGTGACTGAGTCAGGGTGATGGTGCGCCGTGCTCTGTCCCGAGTGATATGCAGGCCAAGATAGCTCCGCAGCTCACCCAGGTCAGTGCAGGTGTGTCTCTCCGGCAGCTCCGCCTTCACAAGGGCCAGCGCCTCCGTGTCAGCAGTAGCAAAAACCAAGTCGTCGACATATACGATAACGTAGAACGGCGGCAGGGTAGTGTCGGTGCGCAGAAACAGCGACGGGTCAGCAGTCGAAGGAGCAAACCCAAGAGCCGCAAGTGTCGTCCTCAGTGTGTCGTGCCACTCGCGAGGTGCCTGACGCAGGCCGTACACTGGTCGCCGTAGGCTCCACTGGGTACCCTCAGGAAACAACCCAGTGAAGCCAGGTGGACGGCGCAGCCAGATGGCCTCGTGAAGGCTACCCTGCAAGAAAGCTGTCGAGAAGTCGAGGGAGTGCAGCTCGTAGTCACGCTGAGCTGCAACGTGTAGCAACACCCGAAGAGTGGTCATCTTCGGGGTGGGGGAGAAGGTCTGAAAGAAGTCGACCCCCTCACGCTGACTGAAGCCTCGAGCAACGTAACGTGCCTTGAAGGCAGGCGGAGAACCCGACGGCCGCTTCACCCTGAAAATCCACATGCCACTGACGATGTTCGCCCCAGGTGGGGGAACCTTGTCGACGTAGGTGTCTGTGGACTTCCAGGAAGCCATCTCTGCGTCCATGGCTGTCTGCCACTGAGAGGAGTACTCACCCGAGATCGCCTCTCTGTAAGAGCGCGGGGTGGGGATGTCAAGTGCATCCGGGTCTCCCTCAGGGGCAAGCAGTATGGTCGCGAGATGAGGTGCAGCGGCCGCAAGACACTCCAGCTCCTCCTGCCTGTCCTTAAGAACGTCACAGCCAAGGGCAACCTCGCCCCCGACGGACAGAGGACAGGCAGGGTCAGGGTCAGAAACAAGGCTCGCAGGGTAGTCTAGGCGGTACGCAGCAGCAAAGTCAACAAGCTCAGCGACTAAGGCAGACGCAGCAGGAGACGAGAATGTAGGGTCCGTCACAACTGTAGCAAGAAAGCGAGTGACAGTCGGACTGGAAGCACGAGCAAGGTCAGAAGGAGGGTCAGCAACGTCAGGAAGAGAAGACGCAGGAGGTGATGGCAGGACAGCACGCTGTGGAACAGAGGAAGGACGGAGTGTCATATCGTGAGTGCCTGGGACAGCCGGAGCACGAGGACGACGCACACGACGAACATGAGTAGGAACGGAAGCGCTAGTCTCAGGCTCTCGACGCTCAGGAGTGGAAGCACGAGTCTGAGGCTCACGACGCTCAGTCAGGGACTCAGTCACCTCAGTGTGAGGAGCAGGAGCAGGCAGCGGGGAGCTAGGCAGTA